GCAATTTTATTCATAACCACCTTAATTATTGTTTTACAAAATTTGGTTTGGTTGGCATTTTTGTTCGTCCTATACTTAAGTTTTGACCACCGTGTTGGGATTAAACAAAATTTATTGCCAGAAAAGTCTCGTAAGTACTAGAAATATCATAAAAATCTTATAACCAATATGGAAAATATTATTTTACTAGTATACTGTTTAAAGTAGCCAACTTATAAAATCAAAATTTTGGGGTTGGGTAAAGTAACTCATGTTAAAAAATCTGTTTTTTATAAGAGTGTAGTTCTTGTTTTTTTATGTTTAACCTGTTTAGAGACGCGTCGTGCTTTTTTCGAATGATAAAACAAAATACGACTTTGAAAGAGTAGTCTTAGGTGGCGTGGTTGCGTCCTTTTCTTTCGCTGGATCTAAGCGAGCCCGGCTCGGTCAATAATGACGTGATAAGTCCCTATAGTTTATCTTTTATTATGTTCTTTTGTGGAAGATGGCACCAGGGGTTTTTTTGTTGTCAGAGAAAGAGAAACATATCTCAGGTAACTCGGATTAGGTTCGCTTTTAGTTAGTGAGGAATTTAAAGGGTTTTTCGTTTATTTTCTTCATTAACAGTTCGATGCAACCGGTTCATTTTCGTGAAAATAAATTAAAGGCCATTGTGGCTACTTTCGGCCTCCTTCTGTAATTAAAATACTGATTTTCGAATTTAATTGTTACATACAAATTGGACAAAATGTCGTTAAACTACACATTTAAGATGTTTCGAACCTAAATTATGGCCACAATGTCAGATTTTTTTTTAATTAAATTGTTCGACATTTTAATGTTCTTTTATTCAACTACCTTAATTTTACCACTTCACTAAAATACAATTTTCTGTTTGCTTCATGTTGGGAAACAACTTTTTTAAGGTAATTTGGATGCTATGATTGTACAAAAAAAATTGGAGTGTTATAATAAAAAATTAAGTTACTTAGCTTAATAATAGTATATTATGTTTCAAGTTTTATAAACGCCATTTAATTTAGGCACGAGCGAGCTTGCGAGCGAGGTATTAATTAAATAAATGTCTAAAAAGTTAATAAACGAGTTGCATACTATATTTTTCTACGAGAAATACTTAATATAATCTAAAATAGTATATTATGTATCAAGTTTGATAAACGCAAACTCATTAATTTAAGCACTATAGAAAAGTTTATAAACGAGGTGCATACTATACTTTTTCTACGACAAATACTTATTATCTTAAAATGATTTAAATCAAAAATTTGTATAGAGCGCCATCTATGAAACAATAGGGGAATCTGTGTGTCACAGATTATAAAGGAAATAAATCGAAATGTATTTCTTGAAAATTGACAGTTTTTCACAGTTAAAGTAAAGAAAATGTTTTATGAGCACTTTACAGTGGAGTCCGTGCCCAATTTTTAGTTATAGTTTACTGCCGGCGAAATCAAAAGGTCAGTACAATGTTCATATAAACTTTTCAAATATTGGCGTTGAGAAACTATTTAATACTTTTGTATTTTTGTATTGAGATAATAAAATAATTTTCACATTTAGTATTATTTTACAAGAAAGGCACTTTATTTTAACGATTGTATGACATTTGACAACTGTCAACTAACTTAAAACTAACTTCAGCCCGTGACTAAAGCGCCATAAAGCCACAACTTGTCAATGTGTATTTAAAAGGTCACTTAGTGTCATGGAAACATGTACGATAATGTGCGTTTTAAAGATGGGAGTGGAAAAAATAGTAAACCAATATAATAATATTCTATTTATACATAAATAATTGCTAACAACTTATAAAATGCTAATTGGTGAACTAGTTTTTAATTTTCTGGCGAATATTTGTCTCATGAATTAATATCGTTCTCACAGTGCAGTAAAACCTTCTAATATGTAATTTGCATAATATATTTATCTGTATTGAGTGAATATTAATTTATGCTAATATTAATATGGTATTTACATGAGACAACAAACCCATGTAAATATTTTTAACAGATTAACTAACCTATTTATGGTTTTTTAATGCGACAGCTAAATAAATGGTTTTAGGTTCGATAATAATTAAGGAAATGTTTTAAACATAAAAGTAAATAAGTATGGGAAAAAGTAATGCTTTTAAAAATTCGTGATGCATTGATTTTTACGTGTTTATGCCAATCAATAGTTTATTGATTTATACAAATGAGAACTACTACATTTGTCTATTTTTAATTTTTTTAAATATATTTTCTCATCTTTAAGTATTCGTTATTATTATAGGTTTAGTATTTCTGTTACAGACATTTAATTATGATTAAGTTTCACATTTGCATTATTTATTATTTTATGTATAATAATAATTAATATAAATGTTTCCTATTTTGATATCTTCTTAAGGAAGTAATCCATTTTCACTTCTGTTATGAAAAATAATTATATAACAGTAATAATATTATTAAGTATTATTTAATAAATATATATGCATGTGCGTACATGAAAATTTTATTTAATCATGTTTTTATAGTTATTTATTGTACGTGTGGATTAAGGAGCAAATAAAATACGCAAAATGTTTAGTTGTTTATTATTAATGATATTATAATTATGCGTATATATTAGGGTGTCCCTTATTTTTATTTTTTTTACGCATACCCTCTAATTATATTTATTACTTGTTTATATACTCCCAGTAAAAATTTCAGCTCATTCTATAAACGGGAACCCGTGCCGACTTGCATCTAAACCCTCCGGTAGCTAACGTTAGGCGCGCGCGGTATTTTGTAACACGAAACACTTTAAAAAGAAGATATACTTCATAAATGTATTTTTCTAATGATTTTATTAAATATGATTACTAATTAATATTATTTGTTTCACTAATTTAGTTGATTTTATCCCTTAAATATATTAATATACTAATTAGTATTGCTAAAATATACTGTTATATGAAATTTCAGCTTTTTATAAGCATTTCTTTTCTTGGTGTCCTCCCAAAAATATTTCAGACAGTTCAATAAGTTTTCGGTAGTCATCTCTCACAATAGACTCTTTTAGTTATTTAGAGTAAAACCCATTAAGTTTACGGCCTATTCACCAGACCCTTCCGGGTAACTAGCCACTCCCTGTGAAAATATACATTTTTATCAAAGTATACACATAAATGAAATTATATTTTAACATTTGTCAATAATTTATAATATAAGGGTCACATAATAACAAACACAAAATCACTTACGATCGGAGACCTCGCGACCAACCGTGTTACAAAATACCGCGCGCCTAACGTTGGCTAACGGAGGGTTCAGATGCAAGTCGGCACGGGTTCCCGTTTATAGAATGAGCTGAAATTTTTACTGGGAGTATATAAACACGTAATAAATATAATAAGAGGGTATGCGTAAAAAAAAATAAAAATAAGGGACACCCTAGTATATATACTCTCTAAAAATGAATTAGTCAAAAATTACTAATTGTCATACCTAGCGAAAAAACAGCCACTAATAATTCTCGTCAATAGAAATTTGTTTCCCGAACATTTAGCAGTAAATTTATATGTAAAATTGTCCCCTGAATTCGAAAATGTCGTCAAAAGTTAGAAAAGTAGAACAGTTATTGAGATATAGTCAATTTTATATATATCATTTTTTGTACTATTGTAAGTGGAAATATTTTTGTCTTTGAAACTTTGTTTGGGCTATTTTTTTTCCTGTGACCCTGAGAGACCATGTATGAAACCAAAACATCTTTTAACTAAAATATCATTAAATCCTTTTACTCATTCATAAACTCCGTCCATTAAATTCTAATTTGTATATCTGTGCGGGAGGTAAATAGCAAATCGAACCTTCTCTACTGAAGAGCTGTGGTTATTGTATCGGTCGAGTTGCTGTATCGTGGAGACGACGACGAATGCAAGTCAGCGACTGGCGACCAGCACCAGTCGAGCATACGGAATGAGCATCACCGTTTTCCCACGGTGACCGACTCATACCCGTGATGTCATACGCTCGTACATGCCAAACATTATCATCATAGAATCCTGACTCGCCCGTCCATTCATTCACAACTCAACCGAATATTCGCCATCTCTCTTATTTCGAATAACTGACATTTTAGCTTTTTACTAATATAATTAAAGATGCTATCTTGGTTCGAATAACTAAACAATGGCTTAGTAATCGTTTTCCAATAATTTTTTCTTCCGTTCCCCATCCTGATTATTAATTAATGTTAAAACAACTAATTATAGGGTGATTGAACTTCCTCTCTTACTCCACTTACCATTTGATGGATGTATCGATCCAAATATAAATAAACTATGTGAATGACTTCTTCAAAAACCTCCTCATATTATATTATTATATTTTAATCTGAATTGAAAAGGAGAAACTTGATGATAGGCTACAAAATTAAATTGTTGTGTTATATATAATTATACGCAAAACAGTTATTTCTACGTATGATGATAACTGTTATCAAGCTTACGAATCTTTGTAATAATACATCACATTTTGATATCTTCCCATATTTGTTTTAATTCCACTGCAGAAAATAATAGGCTTGCCATATTATATTGTATAAGGAAAATATCGGAATCAATGTAAACTACTTTAATAACAAAGAAAAAATGACATGAAAATGCCATAACTGTTTATAAACAATAAGGCTATTGTAAATTAAACAATTTTATACTAATTAAGAAATGATTGCCTCGCCGTATATGGATTTGATGCAATTATAATGTTTTAATAAATAATTATTATCATAATAATAACCTTTAATATACTCTGAAATTAGGTTTTTAATTGAAACAAGTAAACAATGATGCACCAAGTAAAAATCTTGTAAGAAGCAAACCTCCAATGTTTCCATTTGATTAGCTTCATCCATTTCAGAAATATTATCACCATCATTAATGCTTCTAATCAAAAACTATGGGCTATAAATCCGGATTGTTCGGTGTTGCAGACCAGACAATTAGGTCTTAAGTCTTGCTCCTTATTTAGTTATCTGAGGCGCATCCTTGCTTCCAAACAAACGAGTCATTGATCAACTCATCTTGGTGTTATTTGTCTTTGGACTCTCCTATGGGATATCAATCAGGCTTCGGCTTCCAGGCCGAGTTATCAGGTACACGCTTGGTGTCACGTGAAGGAATGCGGTGGTCGTCGAATACTGGGAAGAATACTTACATAAACAACGTCTTCCTATGCCAAATGTGTTTATAATTCTTTGTACGAACGGTGCTACTGGTAAACATGTCGTGACAACCGGCGATTAATGCCGATAATTGCTTTTAATATAATAATTTGTGACCGAGGCATTTCAATGCAATTACCACTAAATTTTAAACAGATAATAGTAGGCTGGGACAGCAAAAAATCTAAAATGATCCGAGCACGTATTAATTTATTGTATGGAGAATTAAGAGCCGTGTTATTATTTTTGATATTCCTTTAATGCAGGTTCTCTCTCAACTCAGCTGACCTTGCTTGCGTTTCAGCCGACTAAGGTCATCAAGCTTTTTGATCGAATTTCGTAATTATTTATTATGCTGGTAGGTGGATACTTTCTTATAATCGGTAATTAAAAGTAAAATATTGTTTCATTTATCTTATTTATGCCTTCCAATAAGTGCAGCGCTCGCCTGTTATCGTGACCATATTCGAAAGGTGGCAAAAAATACGTGCATTAAGGCTCCGATTATACATGCACAATTTATTTTGAGAATCTCAGCTAATTAACCGAAATTAAACCGCACAACATAAATCTTTCATTACCTATCACATTTGATCTAGCTATAGCTTTGACTTAAAAATCATTCGAGATTCAAACACTCACTAAAACTTGGACAAAATTTCTTTAAACTCGTATTTTAAACTGTAATTTATCTTTTTCCTAAATATGATCTTTTATCTTTACCTGTACCAAAGAAAAAAGTCAAGGAGTCAAATCAGAACTCCTTTCCAACTTACAAGAGCCCGAATGAATAAGCAATGAATCTCAGATAAGAATAAAAAACGATAGCTAATCCCAATAAATCGCCATAGGGAATTCCTTAAATGGCATTGTTCATATTATAATACGAGGTGTGTTCAGAAAATAACGGGAATTGTTAAATTTCGCGGGTTCGGAGGGTCCGGTTGTCATAAAATTTTCTTTATTATGTTGGTATACATGCCCCCAAAGTATGATAAAATCTTTATCTGTTTTCATAGCTTACTTTGTCTGTGGCAGCCGCTAAGGTTAGACGTGTTTTATGAGCTCGGCGATTTTTCGTTCGTTAAAAGAAATGGATCAAAGAATTTGCATCCAATTTTGCTTAAAAAATAAAATAAATTCTGTGAAATGTTAACAAAGGCCTATAGTGAGTCTGCTATAAGTAAAACAAGAGGTTACAAGTGGTATAAGAGTTTCCAAGATGGCCGTGAAGACGTTGAAGATGACGAACGCCCCAAACGCACAAGCACATTAACAACCGATAAAAACATGGAAAAAGTGGAGGAAATTGTTATAAACCATCAGAGAAGTCGCTGATGATGTTGGTATATCGATTGGCTTTCCCATGAAATTTTTTCGAATGTTTTGGGTATGAAACGCGTGGCAGCAAAATTTGTTCTAAAATTGTTAAATTTTGAACAACATTTTTGACCAAAAACAATACTGTAATGATGCCCCAGCCTCCATATTCGCCATGCCTCTGTCTGACTTTTTCCTATTCCCAAAAATAAAGAGAACCTTAAAGGGCCGTCGTTTTGCAAGCATAGATGACATTAAAAGCGCATCGCTGAAAGAACAAAAGGCTATCCCAAAGATCAAGTTTTAGAAGTGTTTCGAGTATTGGAAGAAGAGCTGGCACATGTGCATAATATCCAATGGGGAATATTTTGAAGGCGACAACATTAATGTAGACGAATAAATAAATATTTGTTTCAAAAAACTAAAATTCCCGATATTTTCTGAACACACCTCGTATGTAAAATTGTTGATCAACTTCATTGTGACACTGCTGTCAATTTTTGTTTCTGTCATTATTTATCATTTTAAGTTTCTAAGGTTTTAAGATTCTCAGCATTCATCCATTTGATTTATTCCATTATCTATTGTGATTTGCCTCTTGTAAAATTATAATAATTAGTTTTGGCTTTTCTACAATTGCTTGATTGGATTCAGGTCTGGAAGGTTTGGAATCTGGTAAAAACCAATAGATCTGATTTCAACGAATTCCAGATCTTAATCTGATGAAGAGCATTAGGGAGGTTATGAGTAAGGCCAAATTCCTGCTCATAAAACACGGTCTTTTGTATATAAAACAGCCAACTTTGATTAAGCTTGTTAAAAATCCTAACCTGTGCCATTAGCATTCCCAACAACATTTATTTACTGTTAATTAATAAAGTGGCGTTTTTGCAGTCGCTGCGGAATTTTTCGAAGAATCTAATGACACATCCGCGTTTTTTCCTGCAGCGAAATTAATGGTGGCTAGAATAACTGAAAGGAGTGATGAACATTTATCTTGGAGTGCGCCTTCTAAGCCTGCCGCATATCTACGCTTCAAGCACCTGGAGAGACGGTCATAAGCTAGGAAACGACACACGGCGAAAAATGCGCGGAATATCTAAGTTATGACATATGTAAATTGCACTGCGTGTGTATATGCGGCTCAGGCTTACCTATTCAATGTAAGTGTACGAATTAATCTTGATATTGTGCGAGCACACTACGAATACAATCGCAAGGCTTCTTACAAATGAGCTCAAAACTATATCATTTGTTTTGATAAGGCGCTACGTTGTCACACTTATCTACTTAAATGCATGTTAATGTCTTCCTCCTTACTGTACCCACTGAATGCTAAAAAGGTTAGATTTAAATGAGGTGCGGTTTACTTCAACGACAAGATTTTGTCTCATGAGAAAGGCAATTGATAAGAAACGCGACGATGTAGGGTGTGGTGAAATGGTGGTAAATCAGAGTGTAAAAACAATGGATGTAAGTTGTCCGATGCAGAAATTGCCGGTCAGTATATGGTATAATTTTATGTGGGACAATTGCGGTATGAGGATGCGTAGTTTGTCCAAAGATGGAAACTGGTCTAATGAAAAGCGAACGTTTTAGAAGATTTAATCTGCACTAATTTATTCCGAAACCAGATTGAACTTCCGAGTGAGATTGCCCAACGATATAAGCCCGTAACGACACTCTTAAATCGCTCTAACTGGACTCTAACACGCACTTAAACTAGTACTTAGTATCAGTTGCAGTGCTTTGTCTCGGCCATTTAACTAAATTGTTACTCCTCTACTTGCATATCTTTCGTCGCTTATATCTGCGCGCAGATGAAATTCGTAATTAGATTCTTACTGCCGTTAGAATGTATCAGCTCTTAGTCACACAAATTGTTTAATTGGCGACAACAAATTTCAGTGTGTTTCCAGCGAATTTAAACACTTTATTAATGTTTACGACCAAACGATTCCACATGACAAATGTCTGACACCGTTGGTACTTAATGACGCTTATAAAGTTTCGTGTCTTTACACCTATCAACGGTACTTCCCGCCATTACCATTATAATAATTTCAAAAAATCAACACCTCTCAGTTTGCATCTTTAAAAGAGTTATTACACTCATTTACTATTCTTTAAACAACAAGCTTGTAAATTTTTTTACCGTTGAGGAGTTTTGTCAAAACAGCTTGTTCGTTTAGATTTCATTTAGAATCTTCTTCAGTGTTTAACTTTTGTTGTAAATGTGAAGATAAGGTTTAGAATTTGTTGATACAGATTCTTGATGAAATCTGTGATATACGAGGTGTGTTCAGAAAATAACGGGAATTGTTAAATTTCGCGGCTTCGCAGGGTCCGGTTGTCATAAAATTTTATTTATTATGTTGGTATACAAGCCCCCGAAGTATGATAAAAACTTTAGCTGTTTTCATTGTTTACTTTGTCTGTGGTAGCCGCTAAGGTTAGACGTGCTTTATGAGCTCGGCGATTTTAGTTCGTTAAAAGAAATGGATCAAAGAGAATTTGTATCCAATTTTGCTTAAAAAATGAAATAAATTCTGTGAAATGTTAACAAAGGCCTATAGTGAGTCTGCTATAAGTAAAACAAGAGTTTACAAGTGGTATAAGAGTTTTTAAGATGGCCGTGAAGACGTTGAAGATGACGAACGCCCCGAACGCACAAGCACATTAACAACCGATAAAAACATGGAAAAAGTGGAAGAAATGGTTTTAAACCATCAGAGAAGTCGCTGATGATGTTGGTATATCGATTGGCTCATCCCATGAAATTTTTTCAAATGTTTTGGGTATGAAACGCGTTGCAGCAAAATTTTTTCCAAAGTTGTTAAATTTTGAACGAAATTTTTGGCCAAAAACAATACTGTAATGATGCCCCAGCCTCCATATTCGCCAGACATGCCTCTGTTTGACTTTTTCCTATTTCCAAAAATAAAGAGAACCTTAAAGGGCCGTCGTTTTGCAAGCATAGATGACATTAAAAGCGCATCGCTGAAAGAACTAAAGGCTATCTCAAAGATCGAGTTTTAGAAGTGTTTAGAGTATGGCTGGCACATGTGCATAATATCCAATGGGGACTATTTTGAAGGCGACAACATTAATGTAGACGAATAAATAAATATTTATTTGAAACACTCACATATCCTATCATTGAGTTTCTTCTCCGAGAGATCCCATTAAATCTCATTATGCAAAAGAAATTTCCATGAATTAGAAATACGAATATCTCTTAATTAATAATTATTAATAACATACATTTCTTTAACAATGACAAGTAGTCAAGTATAATTAATTATGGCATTGTTGGTGCCCCGTCAGCATAATTGAATATTTTCACACAAGATCTGCTTCATCTTCGGAAAGCATTCATATTCAAGACCACACATTCTAATCTATTGTGCTGCCACTTGTAACAAATATTTGCATTCGATTTAGGTCGAGAAATAGTATTAACCCTTAACATCGATGGAATTACTTTCTATTGATGTACGGTAATTAGCCTTGTTGTATCAAATTCCGATTCGATAACATACATAATTTATCAATGTAATGGTAGGTATAGATTTCAATCGAACATTTATTTTGTTACAACCCGTCATATATCAGATATAAACATATTATTTGTGGATTCGGTCTCGTCATTTTTTATTTATGTTTATGTTTGTATTTGATAGACGTTAAGATGATACTAACTAGCTTTAATAGAAGCGCGGTTTTGTATAGATAGTGATATAAAAATCGATCATTAGCCTTAATGAAGTTCTTGTCTTGCATATGATATATTTAAATTATTCGTTGTAATGAAGAAGAGTATGATAATGAGACCAATTAAGAGGAGGATTTTTTTCCATTAATGGTGTACTAGATATTGAAAATATAATTGCTGTGGGATTGTGAATTTTTTCATATATTTGTGAAATCATAAAACGTACAGATAAAAACGTAGGTATATCACATTAGGTCTAGGAATTGATGTAATAGGAAACCATATTCGAATGCTGTTCACGACTTTTCAACAAACACACGATTTTAATCCTAATTCATTCAACTGTTTTAATGTCGAATATGTTAAACGTCAGCCCTCTTTGCATTGCTTCTCGTTTGACGAACGCTCTTCGTTACCAATAAAGAAAGTCGCAACCAGGTATGTTGGTTTATCGTAATTAATGTTGCACTCTATATAACAATAGTTATGTAAGGCTGCCCATTGATTTTGCTACACAAACTTTCCAACTATCGATGAAATGCCCAACAACAAAATTATGTTCACCTAATTAGACTGATGTTGCCTAATAACGATTTAGTAGGTACCATAAAACGGGGCAGATAGAATCAGAGTTTGGTTTTTTGCTTTTTGCAGGTATACCTATCATTCTAGAAAGCTGGGCTGACAATACTTAATGAATACTTATCTTCATCTGAGTCCAGGAATTCCTTCAGTTGGTTGAAGCTTCATCATCTTTATTGACTTACTATCATGTAAAAATCTTTCATTTTAAAAAAGTTTAAAAATTGGTCCTAATATACCTTCAAATTAGCTCCATACCACCTTAGAAGCATGAAAAAACCATTATCATGGTTCACTTTGACAAATAGCAAAATCAGGAAATCCGCTAATTTTAGACACGTCCCTGAAAAACTAGAATGTTCATTGAGCGACAAATAAAACCATTGAATAAATTAAGCAGCAACAGTAAGTAGTAAAGTCAGTGGATAAGGTGGGAGGCATAAATTACAAGATCACCGGATAAAAAAACACACAACAACAAACACATGTTTGGGTGAGGTATGGTCCCGCGACAATCGTAACTACCGAGAGATGTTCCGATACAAGTTTGAACTTGTTCCAGCAACGGGCGATTTTTGTTTTGTCCGCCGTTTTTTTTTCTGAGCCGTCTCCCACGCATCTGTGTATCAGATGCAATCACCAACATTTATGTCTATTGGGATTTAAGTGTAATGTTTTGTCGCGAAGTTAATATTAGCGAAGAACACATAAATTATACTGCTCGGGAATTTATTATATTTACTTGACACATTCCAAATTCATACAATTCATACTATACTATAGTTCCGGATGAATCCTAAAAATTATTTGTTAATATTAACCCGATTTTATGTTAATAATTTTATGTTAAGTTTATAACCAACTGTAATCTGTTAACTTATTAAATAAGTAGTTTGTAATTATAACAAACATTTTGTATATTTATTAACAAAATCATATATCAATAATTCACCCATAATTCTTGTAACCTAACAGTAAATCATTTTTTTTTTATTTAAATATCAACATATCATATTATCGATTCTAATATTGTTTTTTTTATTTTAGGTAAGTCATTGATGCCTTCTCAAAATACATCAAATCAGTAAGTGCTGAAAATTTTTGACTTTAAACCACATTAATGATAAATGGATAAACACTTTTATGGTTTAAACACGATTTCTTAAAAAATGGATGGGTTTGATAATTAGGAAAACATCTCTGAACTGTAACCCAGGACTTTTAAACGCCTGCTTCACTAATTGAGGTTATTAAAACGGGTCATCGGAAGCTAAGTGCCTTCTTCATGAGCATTGTTTAAAATTATGCTGAATACCTTTTGACATAAGGTGTAACGGAAAAATATTTAAAAAAATATTTTCCCAAAGATAAAGAAAATATATGCATTAGAAGTTTTTTATATTTTTTTGATACGCCACTGGTTACACACTTGTGTTCTGTGAGTACATAGATACCAACAAACAAACTAAAAACTTTTCTTGCAAAAAATTAATAAAAACTCAATAAATACAAAAGTTGTATGCCGTTAAAGCTCTAATACCCTTCTGTATTTATTTACTTATCCAGCTATAAGCTTAAGCAATGATTAGAAAATTTAGTACCTATTTTGAAAACTCTATAATTACAAAATTGATTTTTTCATCGTTTTTTTCTTTCTGTTTACTCAGTTGAAATTAGGACAAATTCACAGGTTAAACTTTAAAATCCAAAAGCACTTCCCTTAGCTTAGATATTTAGAATTGAGCACATAACCTAAAATTTTAA